AGGTAATATCATTTCAATTTCTCTTTGAAAGGAAGACTTTCCTTAATGCATGTTACTAGTTGGTTAAAAATGCTTGATATATTCTCAAATGATGAAAACCTTGAATATTCACTTCCAAAATTTTTTATTGACAACCATTATGTGTTGATCAATGTATATTCTTATAGTGACTTCATGTCTTAGTTCTTTCATATTTGTATAAGGTTTTTCTTGTTGTGCAAGTATGTGTGTTTTGTAATCTTATTTCTTTCATTTGTGCTTTAGTTATTTGTATGCGTGTTTTATGCAACATCAGTTTTATGTTGTAGATTGGTCACATATTAGCATAAATATTTTCATTTTTGTTTTAGTAGTGATATGTTATTGTGGCTATGCTAGGCACATGCATGTGCGGCATCGACAGTTCCATCATGATGTGTTACACAGTTGTGACGCTTTATAAGTAACTTGAATAGTTTTCTCTAACTTTTCATTCTTTATTCATTCTGCATTACATCACTTATGTTGTAATGTTGTGTGCTGGTTATTTATCAATTTTGCATCATTACACACACACACACACACATATATATATATATATATATATAGGGATATATGATTGTTGCTCTTCTATGCAAAAACGTCTCTGAGTAATATATTAGTATTTGTATTGGAATATGATACTTCTCACAATTTTCTATATTTCTTTTTTATGTTGTCAAAGGGGGAGAAGGGCACGTGAGATGAATTTGGAAAGCATAAAGTCAGGGGGAGCCTTCGATAACTACATGAAATGCATCGTTGCAAGTTTTGCCATCATCAAAAAGGGGAAGTATGTGAGTACAACTTCACCATTAGATGTTTTGCATGATGTAAAAACTAGGAAAAATTAGCATTTATGTATATTGAATGGTATCTCAATGTCTTGTGGCACTCCTACGCATTTAGAGGTCTTATGAATCATTGGAAACATAGTCAAAACTTACCTAGTCTTAAAAAATTATTTTCTGCAATAAAAGTGCAGTTACAAGCCGACACATAAGTCACTACAACTCGGCTCATGTGCTGTCCTGGATAAATTGTTTTCTTCTGTCTTGGTTAGGATGACTCATAAGCCATTTTAGGCTGGCTCATGTATTGTTCTAAATAAGCAGTTCTTCTATGTTTTGTTCAGGACAACTCATAGGTCATTTCAGGTCGGCTCATGCTGTTAAAATTAACACTATGAGTTGACTCATCCAAGCTACAGGCCAGCTCATACTGTTTCATGTGTCAAATTTTTTATTTTCTTTTAATTTCAAATTTCCCTCTTTTTACTCAATATTTCCATAACTATAAATACATCTTTCATACACCATTCCAACTTGATGATACCATAAAAATTTCCTGCAATTACTCTTCACCTTCAACCTCCAACCTATGCATACACACTAACAAACCATTGTAATGATCTTTTGTTGGGATAACATCTAGACGAGGTTTAATAACGTCTAATTAGGTTCTTGTGTAGCTGAGAATATTTGATTGAGATTTGCAGGGGTCTTCATCTAAAAAAATGACGGGTTTGTCCTCCCTGATCATTGATTGATTTGGGGGTTTTGATGCAAGACATTCAAGAGAGGATTGCGGCCTAGTGAAATCCTTTGGAGATAAAGAACGCAAAGGATCCTTTGGAGATAAAGAATGCAAAGGAAGTAACATGAGAATAACAAGTTGAATTAAAGTCTTGTGTTGTAATAGGTATAATTGATCGTGCGCGAAAGCTGTGGAGATAAAGAATGCAAAGGATTAGAAATATCGACAAGTTAATTGGGATTTATTGTGTCTTGGTATTTCTCAAGATCAAAGGAAGATAAGGGGTTGAATCAACAACAAGCATTAGGGTTTGTGTAGTTTCTCTTGAACACTTCTCTTGTATCAACTTTTTAAACAGTAAGAATTATCCTAATTTCGTTGGAATTAGGCGCAGACGTACCCACACGCGAGGATGAAAGTGGGGAATTGTGAAGAAAAATTCTCGTTTCTCTTTTATTTTATTTATTTACTTGCTTTAATTTTCATATATCAATTTGTCAAATAGCATCGAGTAATCTATCGACGCGTAGGAATTTTCCGATACTGTTTTTGGTTTTGAATTGTGTGTTGATTTTCTTATAATCACTTTTGATTATAAGTGATTTTTCATATAAACATAACTCAACGCAAAATTTTGAAACTTTGACTACACACCAAGTGTTTGACAAATTGTGTAGCTTGTTTAACTCAAATGAAAATTCTGAAAATCTGCTGCACACCAAGTGTTCAACAAATTATTCAATTTATTCTTTTGATTATTTTCATTGGAAATAGTATTGCTATTAACTCTCTATAAATGTTAAATAAGCTATAAATTTATTGAAGTATATTAATTCCAATATATTTCTTTCATTCCATATTCAGTTTGTTATATTTGCATATTCGACTTTCAATATCACGATTCGTATAGACGACTCTTTTTGAAAACCTTCCGCGTGCACTCTTTTATTAAATAATTTTTAAAACCAGATATTTCTGGATATTTGGGCTTTGTGATCTATTCACTCCCTCTAGATAAGGTGTCATCATCTAACATATAAGTGTTCTCCCTCTGGAAAAAGAGAAACTTGTTTAAACCATCACTAGTCTGGAAGAGGAAGTCACCCTGTTAAATTTCAAGCTAGAAAATATGACAAAATATGTTCGTATGTTGAATAATGGTTCAAATATGTTGGATGAAATCCTGGAAGTTGGGAAGAAGTCTAGTATATGAAGGGAATATAATTTGACTACTACTCTATGAACAAAGAAACCAAAATTCCCACTAAGAAATTTGTTTCCTCCTGAGAAGAAAGTCGAGTTTCTGATGTTAGACCATATGTCTCAACAACATGTTAGACTTATGTATCCTCAAAATAGAGGCTACAAGAGCTCATCTTGGAGATGTCACTACCATGGAAGATATAGTTACATAAGACCCTACTATTATGGATTATATGGATATCGTCAATCCTATAATCAGCCAAGGCTCAATAAAAAAACTGGCAAAGACACTTAAACAAGGAAATCATGGCAACCCAAAGAAACAACCACAAGTCTCATATTTCATACATCTCTTAGAGTTTCCTCAAGAGAAGATTGATACTTTGATAGTGGATGTTCCAGGCACATGACTGGAGAAAAGAACTATCTAGAAGAGTTAAAATCTTACTCCAATAGTTATGTTACTTTTGATGGTGGAGCAAAAGGAAAAATCAATCGTATAAGCAAATTGGCCTGTTTAGGTTTCCCTTGCCTTGATGAAGTGCTGCTGGTAGAAGGACTAAATGCTAACTCGATAAATATCAGTCAACTATGTGATCAATGTCTGGATGTGAACTTCAACAAATCAGAATGCATTGTTACTAGTAAAAATGAAGAAGTGTTAATGAAAGGTTCAAGGTCCAATAAGAATTGCTATATGTGAATATCTCAAACCAGGAATCAAACCTCAACATACTTGGTATCCAAGATAGATGAAACCAAACTATGGCACTAGGAACTTGACCATCTTAACCTCAAGAGCATGATGAAGATCATATATGAAGAGGCTATCAACGGGTTACCAAAGCTCAAAATTGAAGAAGGAAAAATATGTGGAGATTTCCAAATAAGTAAGCAGACCAAGATGTCCCACAAGAAGCTGCAACATCACTACAACAGATAACACTTATTATGACGAAGCTTTCACCTCGAACATGCAAAAAACTGAGAGTATAGGTCTTGGGAGCGTTGTGATTGATTTTATTTAAGAAAATAAACAACCATTTCCTTCAGTTTTATCAAACACCGAGGTAACTATCAAACACAGAGGTAACATAGCTATAAGTGAGCGCCATTTTTTATCCATAAAAAATAATAAACTGTCATACCCCAAATTTGCACGCCTTATTTTCTACAACCAAATGATTTTCAAAAATTGAATTTTGAAAATTTCTTTGGTTTATTTACACTAACGTTTTGGGTTGTATAAATATTCGTTTTCAATTTATTTTTCCTATTTAAAAATATAAAATAGTTTACTTAAAACTATTTGTATTTTCAAATAACAAAATTGTCCAGCATTCATATGCTTTCAAGTGTTGTTTTATTTCAAATAAATGACATAGCACAATTAGTAAGAAAACAGATTTTGCAAGCATAAGGTCACAAGTTTGAGTCTTACTGGTTCTATATATTTATATTTTTCGTTTCATTTGTTACTAACTTTATTTCCATTATTTTCAAAAATCATATTTTTTTTTTATTATTTAATTACTATTTTCTTTTTTCTTTATTTATTATATTTTAAAAATATTATTTTTTATTATAATCATTAATTTATTCAAAAAATAGTTAAATTAAAAAAAAAAATTTTTTTTTAATCAAATCGTTTTTCAAATGTAGCTTGTACCTGGTCACAAATAAGTCAAGATTCTTAAACTTACTGATCAAGATAGAATCAATATTTAAGATTTTCTTGGTGTGAGTTATTTTCTTTGTTGACATTTTAAACCTAATTTGACTCTCTTCACCCTAATTTTTCACCTATGAATTCTACGATTTTACACACACAATCTCACACAACTTGCAATTTCACAAACATTTACAATTTTTCAACCTTGTTTTCAAAACCTCTTTTCAAAAATTATTTTGACCAATAATTTTCATATGAGGTCTCCCCTTTTATTTTTTTATCTGCAAACAAATAATGATATCTATGCGATGGTTCACACCTTTTTCTTTTTCAATTTTATCTTTTTTTATCTAACTTATTTACTATTGAAATCAAATAATGAATATCTCATAATTTTTATCTTTTAAGTTATATATATATATATATAATTTGCTACTGGTTTCTCACTTTAAAAAAAAATATTTACAATTTGTTCATACATAATTTACGTGCAATTATTACTAACTTTTTTTTTTTTCAACAAGAAAAAACTAATTTCATAATTAACCAATTTTTTACTAACACACTTCACATGGTACATAAACCACTCTCACAACTACACACTTAATACATTCGTTCACTAAGACTAACGCAGTAGAATGACATTCGCACCACACTAATTCCAAACTTTCGTTATAAATTCCGCATTTTTTAATCTTTTTAAAAATCTTCATTTTTTTGTTAGCCTTGTTTTAGTATGCAAATTTACCATTGTTTTTTACAAATGCAAAACCAATTCTCATGAACCTTCTAATATTCCACCATCCACGATTCTCATAAATCTTGCACAAATTCAACGCATCCAAATATTACCTTTCCAAATCAAATAACAAAATTACCATGACCTGTAACAAAAAGCAACAACCCAACTATCACATCACAACTCGAACAAACTTCACCATGCCAATAAGCCATGAATATGTTAAACTACATTACATTCCAACACAACATTCATACAACTTGTTCACTTTTTTTTTTTGCAGAAAGAAATAGGAAAGAAGAAGATCAAAGTTGGGGCGGAAGAACATTGCAGAAATCCTGCACAAAACATCGACGCCCAACCGGCCAATCCCGTCGCCATCTCCCTTCCGCATTACACAGCTGTCACCACCGCGATTCCGACCACGCCGTCGATGGCTTCATCTGATTCGCGCTTGCTGTCACAGGTCCCTCCGCTCAGATCGCACAACAGCTGCCTCGTATCCGTGAAATTACGGCAGCCGCTGACCACATGCCATGGAGCACCCTTATCTGACACAACGACCTCTTTTCAGATCTCTGACCGCCCAGCACGCTGCAGCGCCGCCGTCTCCATGCGATAGCAATCTGACCATCTCCGATCTGGACCCCTAGCCAGCAACAACCCAGTAACTCGCCCCGTTTCCAGTCGGTTAGTAGATCTGAAACTTGTTAATATTAGCTTTGATTTATTGTGGATGAATAAAAGAGATGAAGTGAGTTTTGTTTTTGTTTTGAAAGAGAAAGATATAAATTTCACGTATTTTTCCCTATTTCCAATATGTGCTATTATTAGTGTTGTTTTGGTTTTTTTATATTTAATCTCTGGAGTCAGTCAATTGTTAGTGTATTTTGAAAGGTGTCTAACACTTTCCCTTTGTCTAACCAACTCACAAACTTAGAATCTCTAAACAATTAGGGTTTTTTGTCGATTACGACATAAACTTATTCTCTCAGTTTTTTTCGAAAACCGAGGGAATATAGATATGAGGGACCTTACTTCGAATCCCTGTTACTACATTTAAAGTTTTTTCAACGATTTCTCACTTGACGTCATTTCAGATTTCATGTTTTTCTTTGTTAATTAGTAATTCTCAAAATCTTTATTATCAGTAAACAAGAATATGCAATAATAGAAAATGAAATATTTCATTGATAATAAAAAATAGGACAACCGAGGTAACTATTTCACATATTCAAACTTCTGACTCCACTCCAAAATTACCCCTAACTATCTATAACTGAAAGAAAATTTCATAAAGAACTCTTCTATATGGTTTGAGGAAAGTCATTTCCTCCAGAGAGATGTTTATTATATCCTTTAAGAAGTTAAAAATGGTAAGAGAAAGATTAACTCTAACATTGTAGGTAAGGAAGTAAAATAAATTTTTTTCATCCCAAGTAATTGTTTCTAGTTGTTTCTCTTTTGGAAGGAGATTTGACACTATAAGTTAATGCAAAACTTTTGCAATTAGGAGTAGAGTAGCAGAACTGGTGGGCTGGTTGTAGTTAGCATAAGTTCGGTGAATGAGGATTGAGTAGATATTGATGAATCTATAATGTTCAACACAACTATCAAACTCTTTATAGTTAATTGTCTTAGCAATAAGTGATGGAGTAATAAAGATACAAGAGTCATTGACATATGACATGATTGCTTCATCATGACCAAATGACACAACGAAGGCATTCAACCAGAACTCTCTAACAAGATTAGTGTATATGGGGCCATGAAGAATGTCAAAGTAACCATTCAACTTTTGTTTGGATAAAGTTTTCCTTAGATCAAAACCTTTCTCTTGCAAATCATCGAAATCAACAAACTTTTCATTGATAACAAACAAAAGACTTTGAAACAAGGTTTGAAGACACAAAGAGTTGGAAATGAGACGTTGAAATAGGAAAAGAGTTTGAAACGAGGTTTAAATAGCTCAAAAGCCACCTTGAAAATCCAAAAGATACGTTACATTTTTTAATATAGATGGCCATTGGTATTCTAGTGATATGATTCCAATGCGCGCACGTCACATTTTAGAAATAAAATCACATCTTACCTCGTATTTTCTTATAACCGGGGGGGAAAACAATTAAGAAACCTTTCTTTTTATTATATTTTTTACTTGTAAACTAAATGATCTATCCCGTCAGTTTTCCTAATAACCGAGAGATACTATATTTTACTATATAAGCACTCCTTAAACATATTTAACCCTAATCCTAACTCGTACGATTTGTTCTTTGGGATGGATTGCAATATAATGAAATCTTGGAACTTAAGAAGCTTGAAAAAGTTATCTATGATGGATTACAAGTGCAATTTTTTTTCAAATATTTGGAACAAATAACTCCTTTAGAAGTCGGATGCATGTAATCCATATAACATTTTCCAATGTTTGGAACAAAGATCTCCTTACATCAAAGATTTGTTGTTTTCCTTACAATAGAAATCCCGCTTCTTTAGCCGAGGTAAAATTCATTTCACGTTCGAGGTTAAAAGCACTTTTTGTAGTAGTGCATCTTACCAGCTCTAAAGTTATGGAGTTATTACATATGGACCTCATAAGGACTATGCAAATGGAAATTATGAGTGGAAAAATATATGTCTTCGTGTTTTTGGATGACTTTTTAAGATACACTTGGATTAACTATATTAAAGAAAAATCTAACACTTTTGATTTTTTTCAAAGAGTTATGTCAACGTCTCCAAAGAGTAAAAGGGAGTGAGATAGTAAAATAAAGGAGTGACCATGGTAAAGAATTTGCAAACTCCAAGTTCTCTGAGTCATGTTCCTCTTAAAGGATTAGTCGTGAATTCACTGCACCTATCACACATTAGTTGAATGAAGTGGTTGAACATAAAAATATAACCTTGCAAGAGTCAACCACAATCATGTTGCATGCCAAAAATCTACCTTACTATTTTTGGGATAAAACTATGAAAACGACTTGTCACATCCACAATCATGTGACCATAAGATCTGGAACCAAAGAAACTCAGTATGAGCTTTGGAAAGGGATAAAACTCAATGTCAAATACTTTCATGTCTTTGGTAGAAAGTGCTACATCTTGGAAAAATGTTATCAAAGAAGAAAGATGGATCCCACGAGTGATGAAGGAATATTCCTAGGTTACTCCATCAACAACAGAGCATACATGGTATATAACATTGGTACCAAGACAATGATGGAATCAATAAATGTGTCATTGATGATACCCCTGAAGAGAAGATAGAAGTTGAAGAAGAAGATAATGCATTCCCTTAACAGACTGATGTTCCAGCAGATGTCCCACCCAATGAGGCTGACATTGAATCTGGAAACATAAATTCTGAAAATCCTCAATCCAACAAGGGACCATCAATCATAATTCAAAAAGATCATCCTATTGAAAATATCATAGGAAATATGAATGAAGGAGTCATTTCTAGATCCAGAAATATGATTTCCAACTCATGTTTCATTTCTAAGATTGAAATAAACAACATCAAGGAAGCCTTGGCTGATGAATTTTGGATAAATGCTATGTAAGAGGAACTGTGTCAATTCAAAAGAAATAAAGTATGAGAATTAGTTACAAGACATGGAGATGTGAATGTCATTGGTACCAAATGGATTTACAAGAACAAATCTGATGAAAATGGTAATGTAACAAGGAACACGACACATTTAGATTCTCAATGGTACACACAAATAGAGAAGTAGATTTTGATGAGATAATTTCTCCAGTTACTCGTATTGAGTCTATTAGATTATTACTGGGAGTCTCCTACATGTTTAGATTCAGATTATATCAAATGTATATTAAAAAGTGCCTTCCTGAATGGGTATCTTAATGAGGAAGTTTATGTAGAGCAACCAAAGGGATTCATTGATCCTATCTTTCCAAACCATGTGTACAAGTTTAAGAAAGCACATCATGGATTAAAAGAAGCTCTAAGAGATTGGTATGAGAGATTAACAGAGTTCCTAATCAATAATGAATACAATAGACGTGGAATATATAAAAACCCTATTTACGAAGAATGATAGAGGAAAACTCGTGATATCCCAAATTTATGTTAATGACATTGTGTAATACAGTGGCAGAACCGACTGTTATACTGGTTTTGCGTTTGTGTTCGCAAATATTGCGGTAAGCAAGAGTCGCCACCGACTTTTCTTTTATCCAACAAAGGAAAGGATTAAAAGAACAGAAAAAGGCCTTTTGAGAGTTTTCTGAGGAAGGGGGGTAAATTATGGAAAGCGAAGGTGTTAGCACCCTTTCTATCTGTAGTTTTCTACGGGCTCTTAGATGCTTAGCTCATTTGAAGAAAAAATACCTTGTGTTTTTTTTTTGTGTTTTGAAAAGTATTTTTGAAAGTTCCATAGTGAGTCAGTTTGCTTTATGGTAACTTTTGTATCAGTCCTCAAGAGTGTTGATAAAGCATTTTGAAAAGGTTTTTGAAAGTTGTTTTGTGTAAGTGTGAATATTTGTTTTTGAGCAAGCATCTAACAACTATCTGTAACGCCCCGATATTTAATTATTTATTTAATTAAATATTATTTTGATTATTTTATTTTTAATTCGAATTTTTATCGTTGAAGTCGGGATTATTTTATTAAGTGAGAATAATAATTTAATCAGGTTTATATAGGTATAAATAAGTTGAGGTATCATTTTACTAGTAAGCTTAGAATTGATGTTGGGCTTAAGTATGGTGTCGCGAAGTATAAGGGGAGTGTTTGTTTAGGCCCATTTAAGTTACTAAGGGTTAAATAATAATATCTTTATTAGAAAATAGAAGAAAAGAGAGAAAGTGGTGTTATCAGGAAAAACAAAATAAGAAGAGAAAAGAGAATAGGGTTTTGTGAGAAGAGGAGAAGAACGAGGAAGCTGCTGCTAGGGCTAGTTTCCAGAAATCCCATTGAAGCTTCCTTGATTGTTTCGAAATCAAACCAGATAAGGGTGGGTTTCTTATACTATAATGGGGTGTATGATATTTTGTATGTGAAATTGTTATTGTTTTATTGACTTATGATTGGCTTGTGTTGTTGTGATAATAATGATTAATATTGTTTTAGTTATAGAACTTTCAAGGAAAATATATGGGTTGCTGTGTTATTGTCTGGGTTGAGTTTGGATTATGGGACAGAAGAATTACTGAAGCAGTATGGAAACTACCATAGAAAATAAGTATAGAAACTACGCATAGAAATTAAGTATAGGGAATAAGAAGAAGAAATGAAAATGAAACTGGAAGTGGAAGTGTCGTCTGACACTTGTGTTATGGGGGTTTCCGTTCGGCAACCTTGGTAGGAGAGAAAAGTGCAGATCGGTACTAGTGTAGTAGGTGGAGGGAAGTGTCACTTTGGCACTGTGAGGCAGGGGCACTTGTTTTCTCTGTTTTCTTTGTTTTTCTGCTTGTCCTTCTATGACATTATGCTGCATAATTCTCAAATAAAATCAATAATAGCTAGTAGCAATATATATGAATGTTATTGTTTTCAGTAGCAATAAATTAAATTTATTTGCTAGAAGCTAGTTTTATATGTAAGAATGGCACACTCATTGGTTGTATAATAAGTTAGCAATTTTAGGGAGAAC